TACATGCATTATAACTATGCAACAAAAACAATAACCACGTGACCCACGGATATAACTATAAATATAATCCGGAATTTAAACGTTCAATATAGATGTGATTTTCCTAGGAGAATGATATGCCTTATACATTATGAAAAATCGATCCAAATGTCACCAAAGAGGATTAAACGCCCGTTTTCCCCCACCCTCAATTTTCATTTATACTGTTTCTAAATGCAAATATCCTGAGTTATTCTATGTGAAAAATAATCCTAGAGACTTAGAAAAGAGCTATTTACTTAAGAAAGCAGAGTTAGTTACGTAATTAATTCCAATACCAGTATACCTGTACCTTACTTAATCAACTGCTGGTCATGTAATAATCTTTAGTGCTCGCCAATTTTTTTAAGCCAATCACCGACGAGGATTTTTCAAATTTTCAGGTTTCAAATCTTAATAGTCAAGAACAGATTTTATATAAACTGGACGTTTTATATTATAAAACGCAAGTGGGCGGAGCACTAAGCCGGTTAGAGTGCATATTGGATGTTCTTCGTAAATAAGAAAGCTACAGTCGCTTCGCAAGCTCCGCTCCTTTTTAGCTTTCTTATTTACGAATAACATCCAATATGCACTCTAACCTATACGTAGTAAGTTATCTGACCTTTAATGTTTAATATATTATCTTACAGCAATGGCAGGTAAGTATAACATATTGAATAATACATTTTGGCAGTCTGTTAAGAATAATCAATCCATTTATCATATGCGTTCTTATCGTCTCTCTTTTCAAGTATGATAATTTCTCCCCACTTTCATCTGCTATTTACATTACCTTATCATTGCTGCAACTGATATAACCTATACAGACATTCGATGAAACTCTTGTCTATGTAATGTTTCCCATCGGGAGAACGCTCAAAGCAACTCCATAAAATATGTTATCCAAATATGTTAATAATATAAATGAAATCGATTAGAACCTTTTAAAGCATTCTAAATTGCTAAAGACCCGGGTATTTTAAGTGCTCTAATGATTATAATGTATCATAAGCAGTTTAAACGTTACAAATTCACCTATATTTAATTTACGCGGGCACGTAAAAGCCTTTCAGTACAAAGAACTTAATATGGAGACTTATGTCGTATATGTATGCGATATATCTTTCAGAATTGATTTCAATAAATTTTAATATGGAGACTGCTCAATACTACAACCACCCTACCTGGTCTAAGAGTATTAATCAATTATTTGACACTGGAAGCTTTCAAAAGTGCGCGATCAAGAGCTAGATATTTTTATTTTATTACTATTATTATTATTATTATTATCATTATTATTATTATTATATAGGGTTAACGCACGTTTTTCCGTGTTATAACGTCTGCAGAGTCCCGAGGAACGGTTGGTGCCCTGTATGTATTGCGCATAGGTGAAACCGGGCTATAACAAGAGCGCGTGACTATGTTAACACATGGTTTTGGTCCTGTTATAACATTGGCAAAAGAGGGGAAAATAGCCGATTTAATGCTATAATTATTATTATCATCATTGTCATTGATATCATTGTTGTTATTATTATTATCAATATTACTGTTAGTATTATCATTTTTATTAAAGTGATATCATGCCCAACTAAGGATATATAGTAAGTGAACTTGTGAAAGTCAAAATTTGTTTACATCTTGCAATCATTCCTTTCATCTGTATCAGGACTGTCATTTGATGATGTTATTTTGATTTAATTGTTATTTGCTGACGATATGGTCATCTTAGGCAAGTCACCATTGGAACTGCAAAACCATTTGGATCTTTTACATTCATATTGCTCTACATGGGGATTAAAAGTAAATACAATCAAAACAAAAGTAATGGTTTTCGAAAACAAGGGGGGTTATTACAAAATGAGAACTGGACCTATGATGGCCAAATTTTAGAAGTTGTGAATGATTTTAATTATTTAGGTACTGTTTTTAATCATACAGGTAATTTTTCGCTTAACCAAGAACACTTGGTAGGGAAAGCTTTAAAAACTCTTAATGTTTTGTTTTATAATTGTAAAAAGTTTGATCTCAAAGTCAATTATTTGATGCTTTCATTGGGTCTATTTTAGGATACGGGTCTGAAATTTGGGGATACACGAAATCTAAAGAATTGGAAAGAATCCACTTAAAATTTTGTAAACGTTTGCTTAATGTTAGAGCAAATACTTGTTCTGCTGCAGTTTATGGTGAGTTGGGGCGTTATCCGCTGTATGTGACTCGTTACGTTAGAATTGTAAAGTTTTGGTGTAAGTTGAAAAACACTGATTATATTGTTTTAAAAACTATGTATGAAGATGGTTTATTGGATTGTAATAAAGGACACCGCAATTGGGTTTCAAATGTTAAAACACTACTCTGTAATTATGGTTTTGCTGAAATTTTTAATGAAAATTGCGTTGATGCAAAAGTGTTCCCTATCATTTTTAAACGCAGAGTTATAGACACTTTTATACAAGAATGAACAGCTACTTTAGAACGTAGCCCAGTTTTGTTTAATTACAAGAATTTTAAGCTTAACTTTGGTTATGAAAGTTATCTTGATATTCTGCCTCGTAAATATAGATATTATTTTTGTAGATTAAGATTATCTGTACATCCTTTAAGAATACAGACTGGGAGATACAATAGGAATAATACACCTCGTGATCAACGATATTGTTTATGTTGCAATGCATTTGACAAAGAAGATGAATACCATTTTATATGTGTATGCCCTTGTTTTAATAGTCTTCGAATGCAGTATCTTAAAAAATGTTATTATGTTAGACCATCCGTGTTTAAATTTATAGATCTACTTTCAACGCAAAATAAAAGTATTTTAATTAAGTTATCTAAATATATCCATGAGTCTTTATCGTTGAGAAACGCAATCATTAACTCTTAACAAAACTGATTTGTAATTATCATCTTGCATAAAGTTTGTCCTCTTTAATCATTGTTTATCTATTTAAGAAAGTTTATAATTTGTATGTTTTCGTATGCCATGTGACTATGTTTAATCAAATCTTTTGTTAAACAAGACGATGTACCTATGTATAAGTCTGTAAATAAAATTCTGTTCTGTTCTGTTCTGTATAATTTACATTGTATAAACTCATGTGGGCTGAGGTAATTTCTGTAAATATCCATCAGAGTTAACATGTTACCTTCAATTTATAAAAATAGTGAGACAGTCTTTAACTATTTTCGGCATATTTATATGTTTTTCTTAAAATTGTTTAAAACCAACTGTTAGTCAATCTCCAATGATATCCTACCTTGGAAATATAGTGTGAATTGAGCTCAACTTCAAAATGAAAAAAGAAGAGAATATTGTCACTTTTTCATTATTATTACTATTATTATTCATTATTATTATTCATTATTATTACTATTATAATTATTATTGTTATTATTATTATTATTATTATTATTATTATTATTATTATTATTATTATCATTAGAGAAAACGACTCTCTAACGAATGCGAGTTCTTTTAGAGCTTGTCTATTGTAGGAAATGAATCAGTAATCATGCTTATTTCAGGAGTCAATTTGAGTATGTCTTGGACTTTTAAATACCAAAATGTTTGCAAGAATTTACAGAATATGAAGAAGAAAAACATCGTTTCAATCCGAATGGTCGGATAATTAAGAGATTCAAGATGGCGTCCACGATAGCGGCCAAAAGTCCACAATCACAAAAAAAAAAAAAAAAAAAAAAAAAACAAACAAACAAACAACAACAACAACACTTATTATCATGATTTGGCCACTATTTAAAATAATTTCTTAGTTCTTTTGTCTATATGAAAGATACATGGTTTTTTGTACATAAATTGGTTTTTGGTCATTTTATGGGAGATATAAAAGGTGCAAAAATGACAGTAATAATTAAATTTGACTCGAATTCTCATTTTCATGACAGTAATTTTCTTTCTGTATTTTTATGCAAAACTACAACAAATTAAACAAATAATATTTAAACTGATAGTCTGTGCCCACTCTATCGTAAACCTGATTTCAACCAGAATACGACCTGGGGCTTAGAAGCTCCAACATGGTATTCCTGCGGCAACGAGCGTCCCAGGCCTCGACACCCAACGCTGGTCGGGAGTCAGGAGTACCCCGACTTCACGATGAGCCAACATACACGTGGCACAGGCCATAGTTCCAGCAATCTTAATATCTATATAATGTGTATTGATTCATATCAGCATTGGAAGTGTAAAATATATATGTATAATACACTGGTGGCCCGAACAAAAATATATTAAATTTTATTACATCATATTTGAATTAAGGCTTAGAAAACACTCTACATGTACATGACACGTCTCCGACTCTAGATGGAAATATTGTTTATAATTATTTTCTTAAGATTGATCTTTTAACAGAATTCCTTGTGTTTTCTTGTGAGGTAAAAGTATGATCAAATAATTATCAAATAGGAACTGTAATGTCGGCAAAAGATTGATAGGGGGACCATCTATTATTAAATTTATCCCGGTTACAAGAATATTGGATATACTTTTATACATTACAATGAAAAAGTAACGTAATATGAAACTTTTGTATATTAAAATTTTGGTTATGATACTTACACGTGTAAATATATCTTTTTGCAACATGAAAAATAAAATTTAATGTTTTCTTAAGATCAGTTATCCCCAAAAGAACTTTTTCTTTTGAGAGTTCATAATCTGTAATATTCGGGCATTTAGTTTTAATGAAAGTTTTTAAAGTATATATTGTGACCATACATGAAAAAGGCGAAACAAGCAATCTGTTTCATTATAGAAGAATTTATATAATTTTATAGATATACTTGCGAATTTTTTTTATTGTTGTTACGAAATTGAATTTACAAAAATTGCGAAGATAACAATATTTAATGACTCTCAGTTCGGGTTTCGGGCAACTTATTAATATTAAGTCTTCATTCAATGATACAAACTGTCTGTTTTATCTAACCTCTTATATATATTTAGTGATCATAATGAAAAAGCGTTTGATACGGTAATTCACGATGCTCTTTGTACACAATTACTTTATTCCAGCACTAGTTGTAAAGTGATCAAAACAACGTTCAGTGATGTAAAATCTTGTAACCAATTTTGTCCAAATATACTGGTGTCCTTTTATTTCTATACGGCGTAAAGCTAAGAGGGTAAGGTCCCTTTCACCTTTGTTGTTTATTCTATATTTAAATAATATCACTGATAATGTAGATTTTTCTAGTATGGCAGAAAATGACCTGATTATACTTCCAGTATATCTTATTTTGACTGCAGACAAGATCGTACTTTTTATTACTAATCTAGTTAGTCTACAGCAATAAGAGCCCTCAACACTTCCGTTGTAGAGCCCTCGACAAAATTTAAAAGCAGTTTCTAACAAAATATCTGACTTAACAAAAACATGCTTGTTTTTCTAAAATCGAAAAATGCTTTGTCACGTAGACTATCTTTCTCATCATTTTGAATATAATTTAGATACGAAATACCCTAAAATGACGTTGCTGCTATAACTTTTTTCACAAGAAGACACAGTTTTCGGGGGTTCTCTACCAGAAGTTAATGTTGACCAACTTAATCGTGCATGTAACTTTGAAGACTCAACACAAACAATATTTCACAGAGCTTGGTTTTAAATAAAATAAATATATAATTTGAATGTAATAGAGCCTTTAGCATGGTGCTGGCACAATAAAGAGCCCTCACAAATGTGATTGAGCCGACACATTCATACATTAAGTGATGATATTGTGGAATATTGGTAATAAAAAATAATATTCAATCTTTACTTGACCCGGAAAAAGGAACACGGATTCCCATACATAGTTTGTACGTTCTTTTATTTAAAAAAATACATATTCAATAAGAATTTAAAAGATTTCAATAAATTTCTGCAGTAAAAATATTTCACTCAAATATGTGCATATTATAATATTATCTTAATAGAAAAAAGTTACAGGAGTTAATACAGACCTACTTTTAATTGTAGTGCTTAGCACGATGTAAATTTCGCCAAAGCAATGCAACACAATTTGAAAGTTACTGTGAACATTGAATCAAAGACGTACTACACCGGCGAGAAACAAATAAAAGAATACGCATCAAAGGATAGTAAGACAGGAGAACCCTAAACAAAAACTTGACAGGGCGCAAGGGAGAGCACGGTCAAGCTTATCACTAAAATGATACATATGAAGAAACAATTAGCAACCGAAAAAGAAATCCAAATGAAAGAAAACAAATGAATGATTGATTAATAGGCCCACTAAGTAAAAGGGCACAGGGGAAGAGGGTAGGAAATTCGGGGAGGGGGCGGTGGGCGAAATAAAGAATAAATAGGGCAAAAGGGAAGATACTTACCGTAGACGAGAAAACAAAGTGGGTTGTTATGGTTAAAAAAGGTGAAATATTAAGCAAAACACCAAAAATGATCATGTAGAAACATATTAAAGAAAACCCAACGAATTTAACAAAAGTACCCAATGTCTTAAAAGAAGACAGAGGAACAAGAAAATCACCTACAAGGGCCCGACGGAGCAAGGTAGAAGATGAACATTAAGGCAATTCAGTCCCAAAGGGCTTTGTATGACATACTGCATTGGAAGGGGTTACGCAGTGTGCCATATGCATTTTTTATGGCATACTGCATCACTTCGTCGATGTTTTCAATTAAAAGGCTTATTGACGTGTTAATAATGTTTAGTATTTTGCATAATAGAAAGCCTCAGAAAGAATCCTTTTCTTAATATTTAGCGGAATAAAACGCCAAGCCAAACAGACCGACCAAACATTTTTATGCACCCCGAGAGCAAATAGTCGCCGCTTTGTCCGTCTATCTGAACTTTTTTTCCGGAGCATAAGTCACAAACTATTCAAGCTACTATGTTAAAACTTCACTTACTGTTATATCTCATTGTGGAAAGGTGCAGTGCTCAAGAACCGTATCTCTCTAACATAATTTTTGAGTTATTGCCCCTTGTAGTGTTTCATACTTTACTCTAAAACTACTAGAGATGTCAATTTTAAACTCAAGGGGTGGTCTCGGAGAGCACCACCGGTTCTACCGACTCTTGTTTCAAAAAGTGTGAAGTGTAAAACTTATCTTAAATACATTGAAAACGTTTTAATGTAATTTCTTTTAAAATAAAAGAATCAACTGTCATACGATTGTCTGTTTTAAAGGGTTTTCCTAAACAATTTTTATTCCCCGCTATTTCGAAGAAAAAAGGGGGATATAGAAATAGACTCCGTCCGTCTGTCCGTCCGTCCGTCACACTTTCGTGTCCTGTCCAAACCTTTGTCATTTATTAAAGGAATTTGAAATTTACTTGACACAAATGTTTGTTATAATAAGACGATGTGTCATGCGCAACAATCTGACCCCTACCTCCAGGGTCAAGATAGCACTTGCTCATTCAAGATCAACGTTGTCTATTTGAAGGTATATGTCGTGTCCGGTCCATCACTTTCTTATCTTTGAAGGGAGCCACAATTCTTCACAATAATGAGACAATGTGTCATGCGCAAAACCGGTCACCTACCTCTAAGGTCAAGGTCACACTTGGAGGTCAAAGATTAACATAGTCTGTTATAGGGTATATTTTGTGTCCGGTCCATAACTTTTTCATCGATCAAAGGATTTTGAAAATACTTGGCACAAATAGTCACTATAATATAACGATGTGACATGCGCAACACCTGCATCCCTACCTCCAAGGTCGAGGTCACACTTAAAGGTCAAAAATTAACACAGTCTGTTAAAGGGTAAATTTGGTGTCCGATGTAGAACTTCTTCATAGTTCAAGGGATTTTGAAATAACTTTGCACAAATAGTCACAATAATAAGATATGTCAAGTACAACACCTGCACCCCTACCTCCAAGGTCAAGGTCACACATAGAGGTCAAAGCTTAACATGATAGATTTTTTTTTATCCCGTGTTTTATTTTATATCTTTAATAAATTTATAGTTGTATTTGCAGATCTAGCATTCACTGAACAAAACAATATAAGCAAACACACACATGAATACTTGGTTAATGGGTTACGATTTTTTCAGAAAGAAAACATTGGAACTAGCATAATACTGCGATGAATCAAAATCAACATAATCACATTATTTCCTCCAATTGACAGCAAGACGTTGTTAAGCACATACTGACTCCCTGCAGCTATTCACGAAACGAACGAAACGAAACGAAACGTAAAATGCACCTAAGGGATAATACTCACGGACATGCCACGGACGCGCATTGCGTGAGCACATAATATCTATTGCGTTGAAACGTAATACCTTTTGCGTGAGCATGCTATAGCTATTGCGTGAGCACGTAATATAAATTGCATGCCTACGTAAAACTACCGCGTGAGCATGTATTGTCTTTTGCGTGGCCACCTAGCACTCTCGCGTGCGGATGTGCTATAGCTATCGACTGCGCACGTAAAATCTAACGCGATGGCGTGTAATGGCTTTCGCGTGCGCAAGTAGTAAATATTTCCTATATCACTTTTATGACACCATGCAATACACATTTAGAAGTGAAATTTACTAGAACTCGATCTAATTGATTCGATTTGCAATTACGTGCACACGTGATAGGTATTATGTGGCCACGCGTTGCCATGTAATACCTTTTGGGTATCAACGTTTAACCTATCACGAGCACACGTAATAACTATCACGTGACCTCGTATTACTATCATGTTTGTACGTGCGTTCGCACGTAGTAAATAAAAGATTGTCTTTGTTCCCTTTGTGCCACTATAGTACTGACTTTAATATATATTTACATGTATATCGGTAACATAATTTATGAAAAAGCACATACGTTTCGTCGCATTGTGTAAAAAGGAAAGCATTAGGAAACGTACTTCAAGATTCAAAATTACGTTCAAGGGCGGTTGTACATTTTACCTATAGTAGTAATTGAGGGGAAGGTCGTGTCAATGAACTTATAATGTAAAAAATCTTCTTAAGTGAAGCTATTTGGACGTATTTGGGAAAAAAATGTGATCAGGAATTAAGATGTTGGATAGATTACTTTATAAGCTTTTAAACGAACAACGCATGTTCATATATCCGGTTAAATTCAGTCAAGAACCGAGAACTAATGTGTTGTTGTTGTTGTTGTTGTTTTTGTATCCACTTAGGGATTACATTATTTTCCCAATTATCACTTCCAGTTTCTACAGGTTACTGTAAGGGTTAATGCAAAAAAATCAATTTTCTTAGAACAGTAATTGCCTTTCCTCGTACATGTACTTTCTTTTTTGTATATATAACTCCCATCTCTTATACACTTACAAGACATGGACAATAAATATAATTAGAAAATGAATACTCGAGTTATGCTTAAACGTAAAATGAAGACATTGGAATCATCCCTACTGTAAATTTAAGGTGTAATTAAATGCAATATATAGAATATTAATAATTTCATTAAAACATTCAGTACCCCTTTATCCAAACGACCTACATATATAAATAGTGTGTGAGTAGATTTGTTGGACTGAGAAAATTGAGTAAGTTAGTCAGTTAGTGAAACAACAACGCCTGTGCCGACCACCACTACATCAACAACGCCTGTACCGACCACCACTACATCAACAACGCCTGTACCGACCACTACTACATCAACAACGCATGTACCGACCACCACTACATCAACAACGCCTGTACCGACCACCACCACTACATCAACAACGCCTGTGCCGACAACCACTACATCAACAACGCCTGTACCGACCACCACTACATCAACAACGCCTGTACCAACCACCACTACTACATCAACAACGCCTGTACCGACCACCACTACATCAACAACGCCTGTACCGACCACTACTACATCAACAACGCCTGTACCGACCACCACTACATCAACAACGCCTGTACCGACCACCACTACATCAACAACGCCTGTACCGACCACCACTACATCAACAACGCCTGTACCGACCAGTACTACATCAACAACGCCTGTGCCGACCACCACTACATCAACAACGCCTGTGCCGACCACCACTACATCAACAACGCCTGTACCGATCACCACTACATCAACAACGCCTGTACCGACCACTACTACATCAACAACGCCTGTACCGACCGCTACTACATCAACAACGCCTGTATCGACCACTACTACATCAACAACGCCTGTACCGACCACTACTACATCAACAACGCCTGTACCGACCACCACTACATCAACAACGCCTGTACCGATCACCACTACATCAACAACGCCTGTACCGACCACCACTACATCAACAACGCCTGTACCGACCACCACTACATCAACAACGCCTGTACCGACCACCACTACAACAACAACGCCTGTAAACGACCACCACTACAACAACAACGCCTGTACCGACCACCACTACATCAACAACGCCTGTACCGACCACTACTACATCAACAACGCCTGTGCCGACCACCACTACATCAACAACGCCTGTATCGACCACCACTACATCAACAACGCCTGTAACGACCACCACTACATCAACAACGCCTGTACCGACCACCACTACATCAACAACGCCTGTACCGACCACCACTACATCAACAACGCCTGTACCGACCACCACTACACCAACCAACGCCTGTACCGACCACCACTACAACAACAACGCCTGTAACGACCACCACTACATCAACAACGCCTGTACCGACCACCACTTCATCAACAACGTCGGTAACGACCACAACAACAACAACTGTGTCACCTTCGACGACCACCACTTCATCTTTCTACTGTCCATCTGGTGGAACACCATTTACAACTGTAGTGCTTACCGACAGAGATATTTTCACCTTCAAGTAAATTCACTTATCCTACACATAACTCCCATTTCCTGATATTCTATTAGAGTTCAGTGCAAAAATGCATGCGCAATTCACGCTTTAATTTATACTGCGCAAGGTTACGTCAACGTTTCGACTGGTTTTTGTTGAATATAATTTCTAAATATCAACAAATAGCACACTTTCTCAATTTTTATTTCAAATGCGTGATAATTGATTGGTACATGTTTCGTCTGAGAGCCTTTCATACGGTTATTCTGAACATTGATTTCCAAAGGAATTTACAGCGAAATCCGTAATGGTGTACATTGTGAAGTTGCAATATTGGGTGCTAAATAAATACATGTACATTTCTTTTCGGGAGAATTTTTCAAAAGTTAACATTCCTGTTGCTCACCAAGATTTTAATTCCATAATGTTAAGTATGATAACGATTTATAGCTTGTGTGTAGCATCTAAGTATATTTCAAAAATTTTAATTTGTCAAGTTTTCAAGTTTTTTTACCTTTCTCGAAGTAAACTCGTTCTATCTTCGCTCAGCAAAGTTAAAACAATATAACATAACAGTCTAATTTAGTTAAGTGAATTGAAAAACCAACAAACAACCCCCTGTTCCCATCAACACCTATACCAATCCGTTGCCTACTCAAAAAAGCCCGTGCCTTACAAACTCATTCTCAAGTCATTTGTCACATATAATTCCGTTCTCGAGTCATTTCATTCTATATCAATTTTTGATCAAAATTTGTATTTCATCTTTACCCAGGGTGGCGAAGGTATTGGCATCGCAGTCAGAGGCGCGAGGAATCTGTATGAACCATGGAGCATTCCTTGCTCGCGTGACAACTGTAGTCAAGATGAATTATCTACTTAATCTTATTAGGACTTGTTCAGGTTATCTTTATTTCATGTGATAACAAATTATGCAATATATGTACTTGACAAAATATAAAACAATAAGCAAAGGAACTAATAATCTCAGCGAGTATTGTTAGATTCATTTACATATATGTATGGGAAAATGTTGTCGTAGAACCAAAATTAAAAACGATTTTATTCTGCTGAAATACTAATATATGGAATTCACAGTAGATACACAAACTCACTGTATCCTGTCTTGCGAGTCAATACAATTCTGTGTGCACCCATGCGATAAAGAGAACGCAACGTGTTTCCTCTGTACCCGTATATATCTTTTTTGTTCCTTTCTTTCTAGAACAGACATTTGATAGTTTATACACTGTAGAATATATATCTTATGAAATAACTTTAAAAAAAAATCATGTACTTTCATTATGTTTCAGATTATAGTGGTATTTACGATTACTATGTTGACGGAAGTAATGCCGGTGCCTCGGATTTCTTTGCTGCAGGGGCTTGGGTCATGGATAACGGAGAGCTTGTACCAATAACCTCGGACTTTTGGGGACCCGGATATCCCAACTATCCTGGCAGTCAGCATTGCCTGCGCATGACATCAGAAGAAAATTACATGTGGGACGACTGCAGTTGTAGCGCAACGCACTATTTCATTTGTGAACAGTGAACTTTTATTTCGTCTTCCTTTGGGATGGATATATTTAAAGTGCACTTTATCAGGTGTTTTTAGTTGAACGAAAAATATCGTATGTGTAAGAGGAAAATAGAAAGAAAAATGTTTTATGTCATCTTTACATAGTAAATCCTTAATGCTACTTTTAGATCTACAATTTTAGATCTCAGAGCTAACTTCTCAGGGCTCCAAAATGTACTGTTACAATGTATTATTAAGTCAAGTTTAACATATATTCATTATACGTTTGGTGCATCCCATTTATACAGTACACATATTTATCTTTCAATAAAAGGCTTCGTAATTTGTAATGTGCTACCATTGTAAAACACAAAATTATTCTGTTTGTGTTGCAATAATATAAACTGTTTACAAATGGTTATTCATATCATATTGTTTTATTACGTAAATCTAAGATAAGTCAATGGGGCCGGGGTGTAAGTTGAGTTTTTATATGTACATTGTTGAGGGTGGCGATTCGTTCAATAAAGGTTTGAAAATAAGTGTGCACTCGTCATATAATGTCCAGTACTTACAATGTATAATGTCATCTTTATTTCAAATCACCAATTTTTGACATTTTGACAAAAGTTAGTGCAGTTAGGATTTGATATAAAATTTAGACACTTGAAATGAAAACGAGGCTGGACGGATTAGTGATTTGATATGGATTTTGTTTTTGGACTCGGAAAATATAAACGAGACAAAATGGAGTACAATAGTGATTAAATATGGATTTTTTAGACTAGGATAATGCGATGAAAACGAGTCACAGTTGATAAGATTGGATCCAATAATGATGACAGATTACATGGAACAAACGCTGGATGTGTACATTTTTATGTCATTTGATACAATGTTGTACATGTTAAATTCAATTAACGTGTATCATTTCATATTTTACACGTTTTACTACAATGTATAATATAAAATATTAGGTTCTTTTACATTGTTAAGCACAATACTGAATTATATTGGACGAGTACACAGCTGACAAACCTATATTGGACTAGGCGCTAGCCAATAAGTTCTGCAGCTTTGTACGTGTCCAATAGTATCAGTATTGTTCAACAATGTATTATAACCGCTTTTTTTCAAATGTTGAAATATATTGACAAAATGTTGTTAATTCAAGTACAACAAGATATTGATACATAGAGGATATTGAATGAGTGTAAGTTCCATACAGTATTTATTGCACGGGTTGAATAAAATTATATTATTTCGGTGGTTTATAGAAATATATCAGTGATATAAAACTGGTAATTTCACTGTTTGAAACAGTGAAATTACCACTTTGATAATTTCACTGTTTTGATTTTAAGCCGCTTACGTTGTTTCACTGAAATACCAGCGTGCACAGTACTGGGTACCAACTTAATGACGTGACGTCATAAATGACGTCGCGTTGTATTATTATTTGTCGCGCTTTTAATTCAGTATTAGGTTTAATGTCTTTTTAAAACGTTTCTTTGCATATAATAAAAAGAAAATTAGTTTAGTTTAGTGTAAGATCGAAATATATTTCACCTTGTGAACACCAGAAGTTCATATTTCACTCGTGGCTGCGCCACTCGTGAAATATACCTTTTGGTGCTCACTCGGTGAAATATATTCCGATCTTACACTGAACTAAACAAATATCCTCTATTTAATATTCTATTTATCACATACCCAAAATGAAATAAGATTATTTCATGCTTTCCAGTGTTTTATTATAATATATCAGATGATATTATTCTGATAAACCACTAGTGAAATTTATAAAATATGATTTTCACTGTAGCCGGACTATATCTGATTGCGGATGAAAAGAAAATCAAACTAAATGGAATAACAGGCAGAAATGAATGCCGCCATATGTAAATTTTGCTTCTTTAGGAAACGAAAGTCGATGTTACCATACATCATGTTAAAAATGTAACAAAATTAGAGAAATTTAACAGAAATATTTCAAAATTGATGATGTGACGTCACGAAGTGATGACGTCACAAAGGAGAATGCACGACGTTACGCGGCAAAATCAGTAAAAAATAATTAAAATCACTTAAAAAGCATGAACTAAAAAGAAAATTTATTTGTTTTACATAATAAAATAATTATAAGATTGAAATATAGTTCATTCGTGAACACCAGCTATTATATTTCCAAGAGTGGCGATAAGATTCTTTTATGCTAAAAATGTAAATGAGGTTAACTGTAATAGATTGCATGTTATATTGTTAATTAATAAATTTCATTATTATTAGTTTGAAGCGATTAAATTGTATTTTTCATTCCCAGAAAATTTCATTTTTGTTCCAGAGATGCGATATCTCAAAAACAACCCGAAAATTTACATCGTAAAATGGTAAAATTATGGAAAAGGAATGGACCCTCGAGGGTTTGTTTTTTAATTAAAAACATGCATTACACACCGGGGAAGAATCATTCAAACGTTTACTTCTGAAAAATAGAAATGAAGAAGGTGAATTTAGTCGCTCATATTTGAGATTTGTACTAGATTATTATTATAAATTACCTTTTTTTCTTTTTTTTGACGAGTTTAAGACCTTGTAAGTCCTTTCTCCCTGTACATGGTATACGGTCTCTTATTTTACAACACTAATTCGTCTTTCATGATTGTATAAGAATTAAGCACCGTGAGGGGCATGTCGTTGTTTCATTGTTTGGTACTGGTTGGTTTCAAGGAACAGATTCGAGAGCGTTTCAATAAGTCTGGAGCTTCCAACATAAATAAGAATAAACTAACTAAATACATGATTTTTGTCTTTCAAAAATTTAAGGCCTCTATAATTATGTTTTTTTAAAGTATTCCCTATATAATGTTTATTTACTATGTAAAAATATAAATCTTAAAATGGTGTAAATACAGGCCTATACATTCAGTACTAATATAACCTTTGTTGTTTTTTTTACTTTATAAATTTTGAGTATTTTGCTGCTTAAATCAATTATCCAATATTGCAGGTTTCTTTAGATCTGTTCCGTTTCTGTCGTGTTTCGTACTTCTCAACAATCAGTGGATAACTAAAACATTTTTCTCACGGTTTCTTTATGTGCTCATTTCACCAGCAACAAGGTTTTTCAATAACTTAAATGAACTACATTTATCGATAATCCATAATGTAAATTAAAGGAAACTCTTTTGGATTAATTTCTATCAATATAAGCTAAAAAAAACACAACTCAGGTCCTACAATTAAATCATAAAATATGAATTTTTCACTTAGAACATTTGGGGCACTTAAAACTGAAATATATGCAGAAGATAATTAAGAAATATTCTCAGAAATAAAATTAAAATATATTTTTGTGCTATTTTTTGTATGATAAGATTGAAAAGCTTGCAGCGCTTTTCAAACTTTTGTAATTTTTCACAATTAGAATAATTATCCTTGAAAATCGGAGTGGATAAATGATCGAAAATTTTGAACGCAAGTTCTTAGTGTCGACCTGCATGAAATGGACTATTTATCTCGAAAAATTATTTCAAGTCCCATCATGTCAGAAAACCTCCATGGATTCCCTTTAACAGTGTGGTACGCTTTTAGCTATTTCGGAACACTCCTGAAACTAACCAGTACTGTCTTAATGTGAGGAAATATGGTCGTGACCGAAGTAAGGATCGAACCCATTCTCCCTTGGTTGATTGGTAGAGAGGGTATATGCTAGTTGAACAGAACTTGTGTTTTTCAGTGCGGACAGCTTCCAAAAACGAGTGTTTCTTATATTATTAATCATAGTCCAAGAAATCAGTGAAATGATTGTGCACCTTCTGTGAAAAGCATGAAACTTGGCATGGTTGCAAGAAATGGTATATCAATTATTTCAGCCTTGGAACCACCTTTTAAATATGAAGTTATTAATGGCATGAAAACGATATAAATTTACATTATAGGTAAATAACAGTAATTTCTAGGAAATATGCTTTAGTAGTATTGGTAGAAAATTTAGTATGGCTTGGTATTAAATGATGATATTTTGACCAATTTCTATGATTAAGATAATTCGTATCATCAACACATTTCATACATATAATGCACTAATTTACTGGTATTCCTGCATAAAAAACTGTACACACAGGTGAACATTCAAAGAGAAAAAAACTTGCATTTATGTATAAAACCATGTGAGCACATTATTCAGCTCGATATTTCAAAAAATAGGGAGCGATGTTGTACACTAAAGGCGTCAGATTTACAGTTTGGCCTAAGGTTTTACATGCAAGTTGGTTTTGTAAAAATTACATAATGGAATAGGTTAAAACCTAATACAATTATTTGTGAGCATAAAAGAAGATCACTGTTAAAAGCCGAGATTTTGACCGAATTATGGCCCTTTCAAATATAAAGAATTCTTCATTATTAACTATCAAGCACTTAGAATAACCCAAAAACTCTAATAATGTCCTACTGATGCTCTTGTTAATGTGCTGATTCTGAACACAAAAGGAAAAAACCCGTTTGTTTTGCAATAACACGGAAGCGGGAACCTTATCAAAACTTGACACTCAAGCGAGTTAAAATCACGAGTTAAAATCAATACGAAACGGCGTCGTTATAAGGAAAACAACATAGAATCAACAAATCATTTGTATACTTTTATACAAGAATGACCCTAATATACATTTTTGTGCATCAAGATCTACAGAAGTTAAAACCTGAACCCGTAGGATGGATGAGGGTTATAATAGCGTCCTCGTGCTTATGTAGATATAAATGCACAAAAAGGGTGAATTATACGAAAGACCGGTAGGGTCATTTCAACTTCATTAATTCCTGACTTCATCTTCAAGAATTCACATTTTTAACTTCGTGAATTCACGTTTTCAACATACGGAATTCACGAATTCACGATTTCAGCTTCATGAATTCACGATTTCAACTTCACGAATTCACGATTTCAACTTCACGAATTCACGATTTCAACTTCACGAATTCACGATTTCAAATTCATGAATTCACGATTTGAACTTCATGAATTCACGATTTCAACTTCACGAATTCACGATTTCAACTTCATGAATTCAACTTCGTGAAAAATTTACGATTTCAACTTCACGAATTCATGATTTCATCGTCATGAAT